TTCCACATTATTATATTCGACTAAGCTCGAAGTATACGTTCTTATTCTCAAAGGAAGCCGGCACAGGACGCAGTTAACACAAGAAAACTGTGGAATAATGCTTTTATTTGTAAGCAAAGAGCAGGAAACAACGACGAGCTTAAGCGAGACTTGACGTACGATGAGGACAGGGACAGTAGGCAGCATCGGCACCTGGGGCTCCATTAGCTCCTGCCGCTCCAGGAGCACCGGGTTCACCGTTTCCTCCATCTCTGCCTGGTGGTCCAGGAGGACCAGCAGGTCCTGGGGCACCGCCTCCATCACTTGAACCGTCCTGAAAAGAGTCATTCCAGCGTGAATAGCATGCATTAGACCTATAACTGGTCACAGAATTAACAAACCTGTCCATTAGGTCCTGGTGGTCCAGCTGGTCCAGGTCCTCCTGCAGGTCCTGGAGGATTAATTTGTCTCTGACCAGGTGCTCCATCTTGTCCATCTGATCCAGGTGTTCCAGGATGACCGTCAGCACCTGGAGCTCCGGGAGGACCAGGTGGTCCTGGTTCACCAGCGCCTCCACCATTTCCGTCACTACCTGGATTACCTGGTGGTCCAGCGGGTCCAGCCGAACCGTCAGGTCCAGGAGGTCCAGGGGGCCCAGCCGGGCATTTTATGCATTCCTTGGTTATATCTGACGTCGCAGAGAGTCCAACTTGACCAACATTGCCGTCTTGGCCAGGTGTGCCCGGTTCACCATCTTCTCCATTTAATCCAGGTGGACCAGGGGGTCCAGGAGGACAGTTGGTTGCTATTGGAGCGCACTGGCATTGGTCACCTGGAAAACAGGCTTCAGTACAAGAAGGTTACGAACACCATCAAACTTGGTTCTGCTTACCGCTGGCCTGCCTTTTAGCCCTAGTGATAACATTTTCGTAGACAGATCGTTCGCCCTTGTTCGTCATCATCTGGCTCCATGCATCATCGGCCATCTCCTTAAAGTCGAATCCATAGGTTGAGGTCTTGAGGTAGTTAAATGCAGTTGACTCACCTTAAACTGCTGTAAATCCATGCGAATTTCATCCTGGAAATTGGTGATATCGTAGAACATGGAAACAGTGGAAGCAATCGCTGTCAACGCAGCGATTGCGGCTGATGCCGAAATCACGTGCAGTACAGTATGCAGGTAGAGCATAGCCGATGTAGTGGATACCACTGATAACGGCTTGGTTGACGACCTTATATGGGCGCCCATCAAACTGGTAACATAAATTGCTATCGGTGATCAACCGGTCGCCTGCTAACGCAGCTTAATCCATCACAACTGGTATGACGAAAGAGCCAGTTGTAGCGCAGTAAATGCTAACTAAGGAGATTGTTCAGGCCGTGATGTCCTTATTTTAGACAGTTTCGCATTTTATTGGGGCACTGCATAGATTGGTATTTATCTTACCAAGAACTTCATGAAATCTCAAAAATTGATTAAAGAGTAAGTATTACAATTTATTATTTATTTATTTATTTATTCATGCGTGCAGTTGACGCGCCTATAAAGAAACTAACAATAGAAAACACTGTGGTTAGTCAATGAGGACGGTAGCCCTATTATCTTCACGAAACTATTAAAAACTACAGTATAAAAGGACTCCTGCAACCCTATTCCCTTTCCTGCATTCAAAGAGATAGCAGCACGAGGGAAAATTAGCACTGCTGACCCTCTAACGAGGAACTAAGGAAAACCTCTCAAACTTGGGTGACTTTGAGTGTAATCCAGGTACCTTACCTGCACCAGTCGGCAATGGTGCCCATAGCACTACTATAGGTGCAATGGGAAGCCTGCCTGAACTTCGGGACACGAGTATACCGACACCCTCGTGGAACAGGCAGGTCAGGTAAGGACCAGATGCCACTCGTGGATTCAGCAGAGAGACATTACTTCCAAAGCCTTGTAAGAGGAGGTCACATACTTAGCAGACAGAAAAGTTTTCTGAGATGTTTCCTCTGGAAAGGAAGGGTTAAACGAAGGGGCGGAATATTCTGATTAATTTTTAAGATTATAGGTTGGCCGGCCTTAATCTGAAGGTGTGTGGCGGTTTATAATCAGAATATTATTGGCTATACATGTTTATTATAAAGAGATTATGAGAGAAGGGGAAAACGGGGTGGAGGTAGTGACGACTGACGACTGCCGACTCCTACCTTTAAGTCGACGGTACCGGCCATTCCTTCGTACTATCATCCGGGGCAA